TGTGTGTGTGTGTGTGTGTGTGTGTGTGTGTGTGTGTGTGTGTTAATGGCAGTGTAAGAGTGTGTGTTTGTGCGTTTGTGTGTCTGTGTGTGTGTCTGTATCTGTGTGTGTGTATTGATAACAGTGTAACAGTGATCAGATTTCATATTGAAACCAGACTGAGAGAAGACATGATATCAGGGCAAGCTGGTTAGCAGTTTAGTTTTCAATCACACGATGTAGCCTTCAGCCATTGTCTATCCTTGATTACATTGGTGAAGGTGGTGACAAGGTGGTTTCTTCAAGTGTTAGCCAGTTCTTGAATGCCTATAATGCTGTTAGGTACGCATTTTCATCCCTTTATTTCGACTTTGTAATGGTTTAATACAACTGAGTTGGTTGCTCGGCAATTTCAGAGAGCAGTTAAGAATTAACCATATTGCTGTGGGTCTGGAGTCACATGTGGGCCAGACCAGGGAGGGGCATATGATTTCCTTCACTAAAGGAATGTAAGATGAAAAAGCATTTAAATCAATTGAGTCATTTCAAATGAAGTTTAAAGCATGAAAATGGAAAACTAAACACATTGAAAGGGAGAAGGAAAAATATCAGGAATGATGCTGAAACTGATGAAGTCATTTGGAATAAAACATTCTGCATTTTGAGCTCAATTCCTTTATTTTACAAAGCTGTTGACAGCATAGGTTTCAGAATGATACACTTTGCAACACAACTTTGTCAGACAATCACACACAACCTGGTTGTTCAAGTTATGCAATCATCATTGCTTCTCAAGACACAACACACAGAAACTATTTAACTATTGGAGGCAGAGCAGACAGAACTCATCGACTTGCATCTGTAATTTTAAGGGGCTTCAATAATGTGGAAATGGGGATATGTGGCCTCTGTTGCATAGAAGAGAAAGCTTTAGAGATGATCTTATAGCAAAGAAGAGGTTTGTCAACTGTATACAACAGATTCGTCCTGAAAATTGTTTCACCCAAATTTTAGGACAAACAATTTCAAGTTTAAATTAGGAAGAAAAATGCAACTGACACTAGAAATCTCTTCTTTACACAGAACCGTCAAGACCTGGAATAGACTCTCTGATACAGCAGGCAGCATGCCCACAGTAACATTAAAGATGGGCTTGGGATACCTCAGTAGGCATCAGGAAATTTCCTCCTCTTCCCTGAAGATCAACTGGCGGGCGTGGGAGGGGCACATAAAATTCTTCCCAACTTTCAGAAGGATATATGAGAAATCCTCAGAAAGAAAGATTTTGACAGGCTACACGGAGGGAGTATGGGGGAATTTGCACGGCTCTTAAACAGTGTGGCCTCCTGCTGTAGCATTCGGTCCTGTGATGTTGTGACTCTGAGTGTGTTTATGAATGGAGGACGGTGCAGATTATTCTTCCTCCACGTTTGGAGCTGACATGACTGGATTGCTGTGTTGTTATCTTTCCTGACCAGGAAGGTGAGCTTACTCCGTGACTTTGTGGAGTCTGAGTTCTTTGTCATTGACGGCGACTCCTTAATGATGACATACATCCACGAGACGACTCTTGTCCCTGGACAGAATTTGCACTTCTTTTACCTGGTGGAGAATTTCTTGTTTGACTTGACAGAGAAGAAAGCGAAGTTCGTCATTACATTCTTTAAGGTAAGAAATGTGTACTTCCTTGGTTTTATATAAATATGGGTGGACACAGTGCTGGGAATTGTATGAAGATTTGCACATCAAAGCACAGAATCAGAATCTTACATCACAGAACAAGGCCATTTGACCCATTGTGTCTGTGCTGCTTCTTGGCCTGCTCCCTTCCCATAGCCTTGAAAAGGTTCATTTTAAAGTCCTCAAACTTACAAATAGTTCACCTGCCTTTATGGGTAGGATATTTTAGCTTTTGAATGAGAGCAAGGTTTAACAAACCGATATCCAAATCTCGAAATAGGCAGAAAGAAAGCTCAACAATTTACTGGGGTTTAATCTATAGTTTAGCACAACAGGAGGACCCTTTCCAAGTTCAAAAGCTACCACCGGGGAAGAACCCAGCCCTTTCCCTTATGCAATATTGGCAGGGATGTGTTTACTGTTGTCATTTCTAATGCCTAAGTCAATGCCAAGTGGTTCATCCTGTTTCATTTCTTTATTGAGACTTTTGAGTGATTGAGCAGCTTGCTGGACAAGTTCGGAGGGTAATTAGGAGTCAAACACATTGCTGTGGACAGAGAGTTACAGTCCCAGGGCAGCAATTTCCTTCCCTAAAGGAGTTTTAATAAAGCAAAAACAGTTTCATTGTCTTAATTACAGATTTTCATTGGATTCAAATTCCACCGTCTGCCGTGATGGGGTTTGAGCATTAGATCTGAAGTTTCTAAATTACCAGTCTAACAATAATGCCACGAGGCCACTCCCTCCATCAAAAAATCCCCTCTTCTTTTCTTGACAAGCACGACCCCCTGGGGACAATGCAGCAATAACAATAAAGGAATGACAGGAAGAGAGGGAAGGGTCAAGATTAAAGTGGTGTTGGAGGGGCGAATAAAGCACTCCAGCTCTGTTGTGCTCACCTACGAACCCGACTCTTGAATAAAAAGCCCAAATTAAGTTCTCAGTTAAATTGGGAACTGTTCTTTTTAACCCTGAAAGGGAGCTGCAGTGTAGCTCTGACAAGGAAGACATAGGGAGTCCTTAGCTCCACAAACATGACCTTAAAAAATATCAGCTCAAACCAATCCATTTTCAGAGTCTAGTGGGGGAACAGGCCATAATGGAATTGGGGGAAGAAGTGTGATCTGGAAAATCTTGAGGAAAAAGCCTAATGGTAGCAGGACAACAAGGTGTAGAGCTGGATGAAGACAGCAGGCCAAGCAGCATCATAGGAGCAGAAAGGCTGATGTTTCGGGCTTAGACTGTTCATCAGCAAAGGCCTTTTCTGATGAAGGGTCTAGGCCCGAAACGTCAGCCTTTCTGCTCCTATGATGCTGCTTGGCCTGCTGTGTTCATCCAGCCCTGCACCTTGTTGTCTCGGATTCTCCAGCATCTGCAGTTCCTACTATCTCTAATGGTAGCAGGCACTGGGTTCCAAAGCTAAATGATAAAGATTTATAACAACCCAGGAGGTGGTGGGGTTACCATTGGACTCACAATATAAATACAATGGTTTCAAGAGCAGATCATAGGCTAGGAATTCTGCAGCATGTAACCTGGTCAGTGCAGCCAGCTTGGTTGACTCCACATCCAAAAACATCCACAGCCAACACTTAATAGATGATACACACTGGGAAGGGAAGGTCATTGATGAAGCAGGTGAAGATGGTTTGGACCAGGACATTACCCTGGCAAGAACATGCAATGGAATGGTGGAGGTGGTAGTGTAGAATTAATGTCACTCGATGATGAGTACAGACCCTAGTCCTGGTGACCTACATTCAATGTCACCACAGTGGCAGATGGTGGAATTTAAATTTAAGATATATTTAAATTCAATCAAATTCTGAAATTAGAAAACTACCTTAATTGGGATAATCTAACCACTGCCATCTGGTTCTTCAAGGAGGGAAATCTGCCAACCTTGCCTGGTCTGGTCTACATGTGACTCCAGACCTACAGCAATGTGGCTATCTCTTAGCTGCTGACTGGGTAATTATGGACCGGCAATAAATGTTGGCCCAGCCAGCAACACTGAATAAATAGCAAAACGAAAAAAAAGCCTGTTTCATTAATCTTGGTTTTCTCCATGTTTTCTTTACAGGATGCTGAAAGTATATGGAACCAAAGTCCCCTTTACCTCTCTGTAAGGACTGCACTGATTCTCCACCTTCAGCACAACACCAAAGTCCCAGTCCTTACAAATTTCTCTAACTGCTTTGATCCAAAGTGGAAACAGTTCTTGAATGAGAACCATCCTTATTTCGTGATGATCTCCGACAAAGCTTTTACCAGCAGTTGGAGTGGGAAGTGTGCATCTGGAATGTTCCAGATCTTCATGTTCCACGCACTGGGGAACAAAATAAACGTTGTCCTGTCTTCTGGAATGAGCTGGGACGTTCTCCGAGTTTATGCGTATCACGTTTGCAGCAAGTCAACCATGAGGTCAAAGTTCAAGACGGTAAACAACAATTGTATAGATTTCTGGTCTTCCTGCTACAGGAAAGGTGTTGTTAAACTTGAAAGGGCTCAGAAAAGAATGTTATGAGGGTAGCAGGGTTTGAGCTATAGGGAGAGGCTGATTGGCTGGAGCTATTCTCCCTGGAGCATCGGAGGCTGAGGGGTCACCTTATAGAAGTTTGTAAAATAATGAGGGGAATGGATAGGGTGAATAGGCAAGGTCTTTTCCCCAGGGTAAGGGAGGCCAAATTAGCAGGCAGCGGTTTAAATAAGAGGGGAAAAATTTAAAAGGGACCGAAAGGGCAATGTTTTCATGCAGAAGGTGGTGTGTGTATGGAATGAGCTGCCAGAGGAAGTGGTGGAGGTGGATACAATTACAACATTTAAAAGGCATCTGGATGGGTACATGAATAGGAAGGGTTCAGAGGGATATGGGCCAAATGCTAGCAAATGGGACTAGGTTAATTTAGGATACCTGGTCAGCATGGACATGCTGGGTCTGTTTCCATGCTGTACATATCTATGATTGTATGATTCTATGTATTTTTAACTCTCTTTCCATCAATTACTGAGAGATTGATAGATATGTAGGTACATAACTAAATTAACTTATAAAGCTATACATGTACATGTTTTTCATATCTGTATGTCTGCTGGACTCTCCATCATCTGCTGATTGATTTGTTATCTTGCTACTTTTGAAACTCTCCTCCTCGTTTACAAACCTCTTCGTGACCTCAGCTCCTCCCTATTTGTGGAAAACTCTCCAATCCTGTAACCCTTCTGAGCTCATTTAATGGTGCAACCTTGTTTCAAACCACTAACTATTGGTTGCTGCACCATCTATTACCTAGGCCCCAAGCTCTGGAATTATCTTCCCATATGCTTCCAACTCTGTCCCTATCTCTTTCCACCTGAAAGACGCTACTCAAAAAGTCTATTTCTTTACTAAACATTGTGCCATCTTACCTCATTAGATTTAGAGTCAAATTTTGCCTAACAAGCCTCCTATGATTCTTTTTCCATTCATTCGTGGGAGATGGGCATTTATTGCCTGTCCCTAGTTGCCCTTGAGAAGTTGAGTTGCCTTCTTGAACCGCTGCAGTTCTTGGTGTGTCGGGACAGCCATAATACCCTTAAAGAGGAAATTCCAGCATTTTGTCTGAGCAGGTGGATTAGCCATGGGATGTGCAGAGTTATGAGGCTAGGGTAAGGGTCTGGGTTCAGTGGGATGATCTTTGGAGAGTCGGTGCGGACTGGGCGGGCCAAATGGCTTCTTTCTGCACTGTAGATATTCTATGATTCTAGGTCCCAAAGTGTTTTGCAATCAATTGAATAAAGAGTCAGGTAGGTCCTGTGTAATGAGACAGGAATAATTAATGACCTCATAGTTAGGGATCCTCTTGGAAGGAGTGATCACAGTATGGTTGAATTTAGAATACAGATGGAGAGTGTGAAGATAAAATCCAATACCAGGGTCCTGTGCTTGAACAAGGGGAACGACAATAGAATGAGGGAGGACTTGGCTAAAGTAAACTGGAAACAAAGATTTTATGGTGGGACAGTTGACGAGCAGTGGAGGACTTTCAAAGCAATCTTTCAAAGTGGTCAGCAAAAGTATATTCCAATGAAAAGGAAGGACTGTAAGAAAAGAGGTAATCTGCCATGGATGTCTAAAGAAATAAGGGAGGCTATCAAATTGAAAGCGAAGGCATACAAAGTGGCCAAAAACAGCATGAAACGAGAAGATTGGGAAAACTTTAAAGGTCAACAGAAAGTCACAAAAAGAGCTATAAGGAAAAGTAAGATAGAACATGAGAAAAAACTAGCACAGAATATAAAGACAGATGAGAAAAGTTTCTATAAATATATAAAACGAAAAAGAGTGGCGAAAGTAAACGTTGGCCCTTTAGAGCATGAGAAGGGGAATTTGGTTATGGGATATGATGAAATGGCCGAGGCATTGAACAGGTATTTTGTATCGGTCTTCACAGTGGAGGACACTAATAACATGCCAGTAATAGACAAAGAGACGAAGGTAGGTGAAGACCTGGAAACAATCATAATTACGGAAGAGGTAGTGTTGGGCAAGCTAATGGAGCTAAGGATTGATAAGTCTCCTGGCCCTGATGGAATGCATCCCAGGGTACTAAAAGAGATGGCGGGAGAAATAGCAGGTGCACTAGCGGTAATTTTCCAAAATTCGCTGGACTCTGGGGCAGTCCCAGCAGATTGGAAAACAGCAAATGTGACGCCACTGTTTAAAAAGGGAAGTAGACAAAAGATGGGGAATTATAGACCGGTTAACTTAACCTCTGTAGTGGGGAAGATGCTTGAGTCTATTATCAAGGAAGAAATAGCAAGGCATCTTGATAGAAATTGTCCCGTTGGGCAGACGCAGCATGGGTTCATGAAGGGCAGGTCATGCTTGACAAATCTTTTGGAATTCTATGAAGACATTAAGAGCGAGGTAGACAATGGGGACCCAGTGGATGTGGTGTACCTAGATTTCCAAAAGGCCTTCGACAAGGTGCTGCACAAGAGGCTACTGCATAAGATAAGGATGCATGGCATTAAGGGTAAAGTATTAGCATGGATAGAGGATTGGTTGACTAACAGGAAGCAAAGAGTGGGGATAAATGAGTGCTATTCTAGCTGGCAGCCAGTGACTAGTGGTCTGCCTCAGGGATCGGTGTTGGGACCGCAATTATTTACAATTTATGTAGATGATTTGGAGCTGGGGACCACGTGTAGGGTGTCAAAGTTTGCAGATGACACTAAGATGAGTGGCAAAGCAAAGTGTGCAGAGGACTGTGAAACTTTGCAGAGGAACATAGATACATTGAGTGAGTGGGCAAAGGTCTGGCAGATGGAATACAATGTAAATAAATGTGAAGTCATACATTTTGGTAGGAGTAATAGTAAAAAGGATTATTACTTGAATGGTAAAAAGTTGCAGCATGCTGCTATGCAGAGGGACCTGGGTGTCCTTGTGCATGAATCACAGAAGGTAGGTCTGCAGGTACAACAAATAATTAGGAAGGCAAATGGAATTTTGTCCTTCATTGCTAAAGGGATTGAAATAAAAAGCAGAGAGGTTATGTTGCAGCTGTACAAGGTGCTGGTGAGGCCACACCTGGAGTACTGTGTGCAGTTTTGGTCTCCTTACTTGAGAAAGGATGTTCTGGCACTGGAGGGGGTGCAAAGGAAGTTCACTAGGTTGATTCCGGAGTTGAGGGGGTTGGTTTATGAGGAGAGACTGAGTAGATTGGGATTATATTCATTGGAATTCAGAAGATTGAGGGGGGATCTTATAGAAACATATAAAATTATGAAGGGAATAGATAAGATAGAAGTAGAGAGGATGTTTCCACTGGCAGGTGAAGCTAGGACAAGAGGGCATAGCCTCAAGATTAGAGGGAGCAGATTTAGGACTGAATTGAGAAGGAATTTCTTCACCCAGAGGGTTGTTAATCTATGGAATTCCTTGCCCAGTGAAGTAGTTGACGCTACTTCAGTAAACGCTTTCAAAAAAAAGGTAGATTTTTTTTGAACAATAACGGAATTAAGGGATACGGTGAGAACGCGGGTAAGTGGATCTGAGTCCACGAAAGGATCAGCCATGATCTTATTGAATGGCGAAGCAGGCTCGAAGGGCCAGACGGCCTACTCCTGCTCCTAGTTCTTATGTTCTTATGTTCTTCTGTTCTAGTAAGCAAACAGTGTAGTCAATCTGCACCCCCAAGCTCTCACACAGACAGCAATGATAAGGTAAATGAATAGATGTTGGACAGATGGAATGGATGAAACAAGGATCGATGTAAAAGTGTAACATTATGTGATCGGACTACAGCTGAGCGACATCAGACCTAATGCTAGGTCATTTTTTTAGTGACCACCTAAAACAACTCACAATCACCAAATGGTTATAGCACTGAAGAGGGCCATTCAGCCCACTGCATCTGTTTCAAATGCCGACTCTCCAAAGGAACAATGTACCTAGTACCATGCTCCTGCAATATCTCCATAACCCTGCATATTATTCATTTTTTGACAGTGATCCAATTTCCTCTTCAAAGCCTTGATTGACCCTATCTCTACCACACCCTCTGGCTGCACATTTCAGATCCTAACCATTTGCTGTGTGAACATATTCTTCCTTGTGCCATCATTATTTCTTTTGACAAAGACTTTGAATCTGTGACTTTATATCGTAAAGCCTTCTGTCGGAATCATTTCTTTGTAGACAGCTGGATATACCACCTGATATAGCAGTGCTTATGTTATCCCTTGTAAAGTAAGAAACTAGTTAAGGATAATGTGGTGTCTCACTGGTTAGCACTGCTGCCTCCCAGCCCCAGGGACCTGGGTTCAATTCCACCCTTGGGTGACTGTCTCTGTGGAATTTGCACAGTCTCCCCACATCTGTGCAGATTTGCTCCCATTTCCAACCACAGTCCAAAGACGTGCAAGTTAGGTGGATTGGCCATGATAAATTGCCATAGCATCCAGGGAAGTACAGGCTAGTAGGTGGATTAGCCATGGAAAATGCAGGGTTACAGGGATGGACTGGGCTTGTGTGGGATGTCCTTTGAAGGGTCAATGGGCTGAATGGCCTGCTTCCACACTGTGGGGATTCTTTGATGGCTATTGCAGTTAGCCATTATATACCAACATCACATTCACAGATACAACAGCATCTGAACTGAAGTTAGTCTATCAAGCCACCACAGGAGAGCTTGTTTCTCGTAGCATATCATGCTTCAAGTTATCCCAGTCAAGATAGAGTCTGAGACCTTTATTTCTTCAGGTCTACATGCTGTGATACAGTGATGACCTTGTGAAAATGTTTCTGAAAGGTATACTCATACTGGCCAATGGGAAAGAATTTCCCTATCTACTCTGTCTTAACCTGTCATGATTTTGAATACCCCTAGTCAATATGTCCTTTTTTTACTCCTGTCCCTAGGATATAGGCATCATTGGTTAGCATTTATTGCCTACCCCTTATTATCCTAAGAAGCTGACAATGAGGTCTTCCTCTTCAGCTGATTAGCAGTCTGAGAGAACTGAGTAAATGGTTTGAACTTTAATAGCCAACTATTACTTCAGCATGGAAGAAGGAAAACGATAAGTATTCTGAAATATTTTTGCCTTCTCTTCTGCCTAGCAGCCATTAAAGGGCTGACTGATTTGATAATGTACGTATTTGTTTATTAGTCTGATGGATTATACATTTTCCACCACAAAGGCTGACTCACATGAAGGCTAGGAAGGTGAATGGCAATATTCACCTTTATCAGAAGAGGATTTGAGTACAGGAGGAATGATTTCTTCCTTCAGTTGTACAGGGGCTTGCTTAGACCACATCTGTGTGTAATGTTAGTCTCCTTATTTCAGGAAAGATACTATTACCATAGAGGGAGTGCAACAAAGGTTCACTGGACTTGAAGAGAAATTGGGCAAAGTGAGCTTGTATTCCCTACAGTTTTGAAGTCTGAGAGATGATCTCATTGAAACATACAAAATACGTAAAGGATAGACAGGGTAGATGCAGGTAAGATGTTTCCCCTTGGTCGGGAAGTCAGGAGCCAAGGAACACAATTTTAAAGTAACAGAAATACGGCTTAGTTCTGAGATAAGGAGAATTGTTTTACTCAGTCGTAAACCTTTGGAATCCTCTCCCACTGAGGACTGTGGAGGTTCAGTCTTTGAGTGTGTTTAAGGTGGAAATTGATAGATTTCTGATTACCAGTGGCATAAAGGGGATTGGATGAGTAAAAGACATTGAAGTGTTCGATCAACCATCATCATATTGAATGGCAGGGCAAGCTCGATGAGCTAATGACCTACTCCTGCTCCTAACTTCATATGAAAGCTCCAATCAGGAAAGTCAATTTTGTGTTATGTTTCACAGTTGTCATGCAGTATACCTTTAAGAGACAGCTCATGATATTATCACTATATCATAGCATGTGACCTGAGGGAATAAAGATGTCAGACTCCATCATAACTTGAAGCTGATACACTGAAGGAAGCTTGCTACTGTCTGTAACTGAAAAGTTCAATGTTAACCAAGACACTGAAGTGCCTGTGAGTGTAACATTTGTTTAAACCTGGAGCTGTAATAAGTGCCTGTTGTATCTTCTAATACCATGTTATCCACAGCCAATTCTAATGTTATGGGAGCAAACATAAACATTGCCAATCAGGTACGTATACCTTGCTAGTGGTAAAGGCTGGGTGTCAGATCTAGAAGGCAGGCTACTGCCCCTAAAAAAAGGCCATAAGACTTAGGCATTGGAGCAGAAGTAGACCATTCAGTCCATTGAGACAACTGGGAATCAGTTGGCTTCCATGACAATCTAACAGCTTCATGGCCAATTGTATTTTTTCAGAAATCAACTTTCACTTCTAGCTTTGTTAATTCAAGTTTTCAAACTGGTGTTAAATCCCTTGCATAAATTATCGAGGGAATTATAGGCCAGACGGGGTAAGATGGCAGATTTCCTTCCCGAGAGGACATTAGTGAACCAGATAAGTTTTTATGACAATTCACTGGTTACATGGTCAATGTTAGGTTACGTTTTTATTCTGGATTGTTTTTATTAAATTCAAAGTTCACTATCTACCATGGTGGGATACATCTGCATCGGGAATACTGTTTACAGTGTTAGTCACTGTAAGGTTGTTAATGAGTTAGAAGAAATTCAGAAGAGGTTTACTGGACTAATTCCTTGAATGAGTGGATTGCCTTGTGAGGAAAGGCTAGACAGGAAAGTCTCTGTACCCTCTGGAATTTGGAAGAGTCAGAGGTGATTTAAGTGAGAGATAACTTGACTGGGTGTTGAAAAGATATTTCCTCTTGTGGGATAATCTGAACTAAGGGTCATAGTTTAAAAATAAGGCTGGCAGCCATTCTAAACAGAGATGAAAACACATTTTTTTTTCTCAGAGTTGAGTCTTTAGAGCTCCCTCATAAAGTAGCAAATGCAAAATTGCCAAATACTTTGAACTCAGAGGGAGATAGATTCATAGATTCACTACTGTGCAGGGAGAGGTCATTCAGCCAACTGAGTCTGTACCAGCTATCCAAAGAGCATCCCACACAGACCCCGCCCCATGCCCAAATCCCACATTTCCCATGGCTAATCCACCTAAACTGCACATCCCTGGACACTACAGAGCAATTTAGCATGGCCCATCCACCTAACCTGCACATCTTCAGACTGTTGGGGGAAACCAGAACACCCAGAGGAAACCCACGCAGACACAGGGAGAACATGCAAACTCCACACAGACAGCTGAGGCTGGAATTGAACCCAGGTCCCCTGGTGCTGTGAGGCAGCAGTGCTAACCACTGAGCCACCGTACCACCCAAGACAATTGCCCAGAGGATGAATGCCTCCATAGCTTGAGGCTGATCTATGGTTGGTGTGCAGTCTAGTAAGTAACTACCACCAGTATGGTTCAGAGTGGATTCAGGAGAAGAATACCTGAGATTTTTTGATTTAGGCTGTGACCTTGCCTCCCTGACTCCTCCACCACACCCTCTTAACCCCTAAGGGGCTCATCTGAGGGCTGCAACTCCAAGTTGATATCATGGTAATGGAGGAGAGGCCTCTGGAGTTGTGACAGATGCCAGAATCCTTCATAAATTAGTGTTAAGAGTTCCCAAGATCCAAGTCCAGGTGAGTTTGATTCCTGTCAATACAGTGTGGAGCTGGAAGAACACAGTAGGTCAGGCAGCATCAGAGGGGCAGGAGAGTCGACGTTTTGGGCCTGGACCCTTCATCTGAAACGTCAACTTTCCTCCTCCTCTGATGTTGCCTGACCTGCTGTGTCCCTCCAGCTCCACACTGTGATGACTCTGACTCCAGCATCGGCAGTTCTTGTTATCTCTGAGTTTAGTTCCTCCTGTTTTACGGTGCATTGCATGTTTGGTTTTGTGTCTCAGAAACAGGCTGGAACAAATTTCTACCCCAAATGTTTATCACTGGTTTTGTGTATGGGATAAAGAATGGCGAAAGTGTTTCCTTTTGGACAAGAGTAATTGCAATGGGTTAAGGTCTGGATCAGCCACAATCAGATTGAATGGTAGAACAGGCTCAAATGAAAGTCTTCTCTTTCTCTGACGTCCAGGTGTTATGTTGTTCAGAGTGTATATGTTTCAAGTGAATGTGTTTTTCATCACCTAGTTGTCAAGTTGACTGGAGTTTTTCTTTTATTTTCCCCTCTAATGCTGCAGTATGAAGTAGATTTAAAAGTTACCCATGAATGGCTGGTGCAGGTTGCTCCTTCGATTTACGACCAAGTGTTTTGTACCCCGAATAAAGAAAAACTGGCAAAACAAATGCAGAAAGAGGTAGGATCGCTCTCTTTTTAACTGTGAAATGATGACTGACTATTTAAAACTAAGTATTTTCTGCATCTCGGAAAAAGACAATTTTTTTCCCCTTATACTCTATGGATGCTTTCATTCCTATTCATCATACCCTACCTGTTTCCTCATACTCTGCCTCAAACTTGCCATCTTCGGGATGACGATCTTCGGGATGCCCAAAGATCCTTACATGTACAGTGTAAGTGTAAATCTTTCTTTATACTTCTCTGTTGAATTACATCACTTGAAAGGGGTGGCACAGTAGCTAGCAGTGCTGCCTTACAGTGCCAGGGATCTGGGTTCAATTCCAACCTCAGGCATCTGTCTGTGTGGCATTAGCACATTCTCCCCATGTCTCGTGGGCTTCTACCCATGGTTTAAAGATGTACAGGCCAGGTGGCCTGGCCGTGGGAAATGCAGGGTTACAGGGATGGGTGGGATCCTCTTCAGATGGTTAGTGTGGACTGAATGGCCTGGTTCCACACTGTAGGGATTTTATGAATTATCTCTCTGCAATTTTCAGTCTGTGTTTCCCATTTTACTTATACCTTAATGGAACGTGGGCATTGCTGGGTTGCCCATTCCTAATTGCCCATGAGGTGAACGGCTTTTTAGGGCCATTTCAGAGAACAGTTAAGAGGCAGCTGCATTGCTGTGGGTCTGGAGTCACATGTAGGCCAGTCCAGGTAAAGATGGCAGATTTCCTTCCCTAAAGGGCATGAGTAGACCAGATGGGCTTTCACAATTATTCTTGGTAAGCAGAGTTGTGAGGGGTTATCTGTTGTAGGTGAGAATGTGGAGTTAAAGTTGGAATCAGATCAGCCATGATCTTATTGAATGGTGAAGCAGTCTCAAGGGGGCTGAATGGTCTACTAATACGCACAAATGATTGTTTCATGGTAAAATTACTGAGGTGAACTTTTCAACCAGTTTGAATGCAGGATTGTCAGAACAATAGCCTGGGCCCCTCAACTACTCATCCAGAGACAGTGCAACAATGCCAATGTCATCCTTTCTGATTTCAGTGTTGGTGGCAAGGCCAGCATTTGTTGGCAATCCTCAGAAAATAGAGGTGTGAGTGAGGGTTCCTGTTGAAACATTGTGAGGGTGCTACAGCTAAGCAGCTTGCAAGGCTACTTCAAACTACGGCTTAGATGGTGGGATGGAGAGGAATTTCTTTCCCTTGAATACAATCAAGGGTGAATCGAACAGATTGCTGATTGCCAAGGCAGTCCAGGGTAATGGTGGGAGAGGCAAGCAAGTGGAGTTCGGGCACCATCAGATCAGCTGTGGCCTCATTAGTTGGTAGAGCAGGATGGAGGGGCTGAATAGCCTGTTCCCATTTCCAATTGACTTGTGCTCAGACTGGCCTCATCTGAGCCCTGCGCAAGTGCCCCAGGGCACGTTGCAGCGAATGCAAAAGAGCAGTCAATGTTGCCACATCAGAAACAGAGCTGCAAAAGTCAGGCACAGCAAGATCCAACGAACATCAGCCTTATCAATCTCTCTTGGTGACTTTGTTGGAGGGATCAATGTCGGCGAGAGTACTTGGGAAGAACTCCCTTCCACTCCTTTGAGGCAATATCATGGCCTCTTTGATGTTCAGTGCAGGATATGAGGTTAAGTTGGCCACCTAACGACAACACCTCTGACTGTACAGCACCTCCTAGGCACTGTACTGGGTGGAGGGAGTGGGGATGTGAGAATAGCTTGGATTTTTTTGACCAGTTTCTTGAATTGGGAGCTTGAACCCGGAAGCATCTGATTTGGGGGACAGGAGAACTACATGCGGAGACGCAGGAGTCATCTCATTGGAATATTGCCAAGAAAAGACAAATGGTTGTGGAAGGCAGACAGGAAAATGTGATCAGGCTGAACTTTTCATGTGGATAAAAAGCTGGCATAATAAGGTGAATGTTCTGTTTGCTTGGATGCATCATTGATTTATTTATTTTGGTTAAAACTAGAGGGCATAGGTTTAAGGCGAAAGGGAAAAGATTTAAAAGGGACCTAAGGGGCAGCTTTAAACACAGAAGGTGGTGCGTGTATGGAATGAGCTGCCAGAGGAAGTGGTGAGGGTGGTATAATTACAACATTTAAAAGGCATCTGGATAGGTATATGAATAGGAAGGGTTTAGAGGGACATGATGGGCCAAATCCTAGTAAATGATACTAGATTAATTTAGGATATCTACTCGGCATGGACGAGTTGGACCAAAGGATCTGTTTCCATACTGTACGGCTCTATGACTCTGCGATTCTGACATAATTTACTGCATTTATCTAACAGTGGGGCACAATCTCTTTCACATACATCGGGGTCAGAAATGAACGCTCTGTATTCTTTCAGATTCAGCACAGCTTCTCCAAGCTGAAGGATTTATGGCCCCAGGGATCAGACATCAGCAGAATTCTTTGTGTTGTGTCCTGCTCAGTGGCTCTGAAGATGTACGCTCATGAATTGATGATGTTTGGACTTCCTACCAAAAGTGGTGAAACTGCAGAAACTCAGAAGGTAACTCTCCCTTTCAAAATCTTTAACTGTAGAAAAATGTCTGTTCCAACACCTAGACGTTCCTTGAGGGATGATTGGTTTCATGACTCCGGGCTGAGCTGGATATGCAGCCAGCTTTAGCAGGTCAAAATTACACTCACATTTTCATGGAAAAAGTCTTTCATTAAATTAATTCATGGGATGTGGGTATCACAGGCTGGAGCAGTATTTATTGCCCATCTCTAACTGCTCCGAGGTATCCATACTGGTCCGGAGTCACCTGTAGACCACATCCTTGTAAGGACGGCAGATTTTCTTCCATAAAGGACATTAGTGAACCACACTGAATTCAAATTTCACCATCTACCATGGTGAGATTCAATCCGCATCGGGAGTACAGTGTCTAGTACTGGTGACCCGAAGGATGTTAATGAGTTGAAACCAGTTCGGAGAAGGTTGATGGGACTAATGCTTGGAAAGAGCAGATTGCCTTCTGGCAAAAGGCTAAACAGGCCCACCCACAAAGATAGGCGAAGGTAAAGGTGGTGTTGAGGATGCGGGGAGGCTGATGAAGGACTTGGAGATTAGGAGAGTGGGCAAAGAAATGGCAGATAGAATACAATGTGGGAAAGTGTGAGGTTATGCACTTTGGTAGGAAGAATAGAGGTGTAGACTATTTCCTAAACAGGAAAAGGTTTTAGAAACCTGAAGCACAAAGGGGCTTAGGACTCCTAGTTCAGGATTCTCTTTGAGTTTACATAAGGGTTCACCTGGCAATTAGGAAGGCAAATGCAATGTTAGCATTCACTTCAAGAGGGCTAGAATGCAAAAGCAGAAATGAACCGCTGAGGCTGTATAATGTTGTGGTCAGACCACATTTGGAATATCGTGAGCAGTTTTGGGCCCCGATTCTAAGGAAGGATGTGCTGGCCTTGGAGGGAGACTAGAGGTTTACAAGAGTAATCCCACAGATGAAGGGCTTGTCATATAGAGGGTGGTTGAGGACTCTGGGTCCATACTCAATGGAGTTTAGGAGGATGATAGTGATCTCATTGAAGCTTACAGAGTCCTGAGATGCCTGGAAAGAGTGGAAGTGGAGAAGATTTTTAGACTAGTAGGAGAGACTGGGATCTGAGGGCACAGCATCAGAGTGAAGGGACGACCTTTCAGAGCTGAGATGAGGAGGAATTTCCTCAGCCAGAGAGTGGTGAATCTGTGGAGTTCATTGCCACAGAGGGTTATTGGGGCCATGTCATTGAGTGTATTTAAGACAGAGATAGATAGGTTCTTGATTAGTAACAGGATCAAGGATTATGGGGAAAAGGCAGAAGAATGGGGTTGAGAAGCATATCAGCCATGACTCAACGACAGAGCAAACTCAATGGGCTGAATGGCTCAATTCTGCTCCGATGTTTATGGTCTTATGGAGTTTAGAACAATTAGAAGTGTCATAAATGAAACATGTAACATCCTGAAGGGCCTTGACTGGCTAGATGTCATGTTCTGACGAAGGGTCACTGGACATGAAATGGTAACTCTGCTTTCTCTCCACAGATGCTGCCAGACCTTCTGAGTTTTTCCAGCAATTTCTTTTTTGTTTCTGATATAGCAATGCTGTTTCCTCTTTCAGGGGAATCTAGAACTCGGTATCTTGGATAAACAGAAGAGGTTGCCCATTTAAAACAGAGATGTAGCAACATAGTTTTCCCTCGGAGGGTTGTGAGCCTTTGGAATTCCCCTCCTCAAAAGGGAGTGGACGGAAAAACCTTTAAATACTTTCAAGGCAGCAGGGGGTCTCTACATGCTCTGACTGCTGGCCGCACCACTCCCCCCCACCCCCGCACTGGGCCATCACTGCCCTCCCTCTGCACTAGGTTGTCTCTGCCCCCCCCCAACACTGGACCGCTGCCCCCCCCCATGGGGTCACTGCCCCCCTCCTCACTGGGCCGCTGCCCCCCCACCCCCGGCCCCCCCCCCCCTCCACACTGGGCAGCTGCCCCCCTCCTCACTGGGCAGCTGTCCCCCCATCCACACTGGGCAGCTGCCCCCCCTCCCCATTCACCCCTCCCTCCACACTGGGCCGCTGCCCCCTCCTCACTGGGCAGCTGCCCCCCCACACTGGGCCGCTGCCCCCCCTCCTCACTGGGCCGCTGCCCCTACTCCACACCAGGCCGCTGGTGTCCCCACTTCAGGTCGCTGACCTCGCTTCAGAGGCTGGGAGTTGGAGGCCGAGGCCTTGTGTCCGAGACCGAGAGAAGGGAGAGAAGAGAGGAAAAGAAGGAGAAAAAAGGAAGGAAAAGAATGTGTTAAGCGAGGAGCTCCAGGTGGAGCATTCTACTTCACTGCCATCTTACTGGATGGCCCCCATCCAGCTGATTAACCTCACTGCCCTGGTCCTCATTTTCTAATCCTTCCACTTATTCACAAAACATGCTGCGCTAGCATTTAGTGCCTTGAGAGCACTAAGTCCTTCACTCCCAACAGCCCTCCAACAGCCTCATGGCACCTTCTCCTGCAACCACAGAAGGTGTAACACATGCCCATTTACCTCCTCCCTCCTCAGTATCCAAGATCCCAAACATGTGCAGGCTTGGTGGATTGGTCATGCTAAATTGCCCGCAGTGTTCAGGGATTTGTACATTAGGTGGGTTACAGGGGGATGGGTTTGGGTGGGTGCTCTGAGGGTCGGTATGGACTTATTGGGCCGAAGGGCCTGTTGCCACACTGTACAGATTCTATGAAAAAAAAATACCTTATAGGTGAAGCAGCGTTTTACCTGCACTTCCCACAATCTAGTCTACTGTATTCGCTACTAACAATGTGGACTCCTCTACACTGGGGAAACGAAGCGTAGACTGGGTGACCGGTTCGCAGAACATTTACGTTCCGCCCACAAAAAAGACCCTGAGCTTCCAGTTGCATACCACTTCAACACACCACCCTGCTCCCTGGCCAACCTCTCTGTCTCAGGCTTGCTGCAGTGCTCCAGCAAAGCTCAGCGCAAGCTGAAAGAACAACATCTCATTTTCCGCTTGGGGCCCTGCAGCCTTCTGGACTCAATATTAAGTTAAATAACTTTAGGGTTTGAGGTCTTCCATGTCCTTACCACACGCCCCAATACACCAAGCCTAATTATCACATAACCCATTGTTAGCCATTAACAGTCTCCATTAACAGCTATTCACCATCCCAGCCAGATGGTTATCCACTCCTTTGTCTCTCCAACTGGTCTTCTCTCTCTTTGGGCTCTATCCCCACCTATTGTTTACTCCTTACCCACTCCCCCCACCCTATCTTCTGCGTATAAACTGGCGTTTTCCCAGCTACCATCTGTTCTGAAGAAGGGTTACCGGACCCGAAACATTAACTCTGATTTCTCTTTACAGATTCTGTCAGACCTGCTGAGCTTTGACAGCAACTTCTGTTTTTGTTCCTGATTTACAGCATCCACAATTCTTTTGTTTTGTTTTCAAGTCAACCACATCGCCGTGGGTCAGGAGTCACATGTAGGCCAGGCCAGATAATGATGGCGGATTTCTTTCCCTAAAGGACATTAGTGGATTAGATTAGTAGTGATCACATAATCACCATTTTATTCCAGGGCATTACCTGCATTAAAGTCAGCTGAGTCCACTAGTGTCCTCATCTTCATAGAAACCAATTTGGATGGACTTCAGCCAAGTAATTCCCACATTCCTGACAAAACATTCACCTATCACCTTCTGAAAGTAGCTGAGGATTGGGCAATTTTGGTCACCTTTTCCGGTGACATCCATGTCTAAGATTAAATAAAAGTAGTGGCTTTGGAATAGAAACATAGGACGGGCATGGATTTGATAAGCTGAATGGGTCTCTTGCGATACATGAATGCCTCCACAAGATCTCGACTGAATTCCATTAGGACCCACATAGAGTTCTTCCCACAGAGTGTTACTTGTGGGGCTGAGTTGACCGAGTGGAAAGTTGGTGGGACCTGGAACTGCTGTGTGTGAGGATGAGGCTTTCCAATGAACACGGAAAAGGGATGGGGATGTAAGGCAGAAATTCAAGGAGCTAGGGTGGAAGCTTAGAGCTAGAACAAACAGAGTTGTTATCTCTGGTTTGTTACCCGTGCCACGTGCTAGCGAGGCGAGGAATAGGGAGAGAGAGCAGTTGAACACGTGGCTACAGGGATGGTGCAGGAGGGAGGGATTCAGATACCTGGATAATTGGGGCTCATTCTGGGGTAGGTGGGACCTCTACAAACGGGATGGTCTACACCTGAACCAGAGGGGTACCAATATTCTTGGGGGGAAATTTGCCAATGCTCTTCAGGAGGGTTTAAACTAATTCAGCAGGGGGATGGGAACCTGAATTGTAGCTCCAGTATACAGGAGGCTGAGAGTAGTGAGGTCATGAATAAGGTTTCAAGGTTGCAGGAGTGTACCAGCAGGCAGGAAGGTGGTTTGAAGTGTGTCTACTTCAATGCCAGGAGCATCCGGAATAAAGTGGGTGAACTTGCAGCATGGGTTGGTACCTGGGACTTCGATGTTGTGGCCATTTCGGAGACATGGATAGAGCAGGGACAGGAATGGTTGTTGCAGGTTCCAGGGTTTAGATGTTTCAGTAAGATCAGGGAAGGTGGTAAAAGAGGGGGAGGTGTGGCATTGTTAGTCAAGGACAGTATTACGGTGGCAGAAAGGACGTTTGATGAGGACTCATCTACTGAGGTAGTATGGGCTGAGGTTAGAAACAGGAAAGGAGAGGTCACCCTGTTGGGAGTTTTCTATAGGCCTCTGAAAAGTTCCAGAGATGTAGAGGAAAAGATTGCAAAGATGATTCTGGATAGGAGCGAAAGTAACAGGGTAGTTGTTTTGGGGGACTTTAACTTTCCAAATATTGACTGGAAACGCTATAATTCAAGTCGTTCAGATGGGTCAGTTTTTGTCCAATGTGTGCAGGAGGGTTTCCTGGCACAGTATGTAGATAGGCCAACAAGAGGCGAGGCCACATTGGATTTGGTACTGGGTAATGAACCAGGCCAGGTGTTAGATTTGGAGGTAGGTGAGCACTTTGGTGATAGTGACCACAATTCGGTTATGTTTACTTTAGCGATGGAAAGGGATAGGTATATACCGCAGGGCAAGAGTTATAGCTGGGGGAAAGGCAATTATGAGGCGATGAGGCAAGATTTAGGATGCATAGGGTGGAGAAGGAAACTGCAGGGGCTGGGCACAATTGAAAGGTGGAGCTTGTTCAAGTAACAGTTGCTGCGTGTCCTTGAGAAGTATGTACCTGTCAGGCAGGGAGGAAGTGGTCAAGCGAGGGAACTGTGGTTTACTAAAGAAGTTGAATCTCTTGTCAAGAGGAGGAAGGAGGTTTATGTAGAGATGAGGCGTGAAGGCTCAGTTAGGGTGCTTGAGAGTTACAAGTTAGCCAGGAAGGACCTAAAGAGAGAGCTAAGAAGAGCCAGGAGGGGACATGAGAAGTCTTTAGCAGGTAGGATCAAGGAAAACCCTGAAGCTTTCTATAGGTATGTCAGGAATAAAAGAATGACGAGAGTAAGGTTAGGGCCAGTCAAGGACAGTAGTGGGAAGTTGTGCGTGGAGTCCGAAGAGATAGGAGAGGCGCTAAATGAATATTTTTCGTGAGTATTCACACAAGAAAAAGACAATGTAGTCGAGAATACTGAGATACAGGCTATTAGACTAGACGGGATTGAGGTTCATAAGGAGGACGTGTTAGCAATTCTGGAAGGTGTGAAAATAGATAAGTCCCATGGGCCGGATGGGATTTATCCTAGGATTCTCTGGGAAGCTAGAGAGGAGATTGCAGAGCCTTTGGCTTTGATCTTTATGTCGTCATTGTCTACAGGATGTTGCAGGTTACAGAGGGACATAGATAAGCTGCAGAGCTGGGCTGAGAGGTGGCAAATGGAATTTAATGCGGAAAAGTGTGAGGTGATTCACTTTGGAAGGAGTAACAGGAATACAGAGTACTGGGCTAAGGGTAAGATTCTTGGTAGTGTGGATGAGCAGAGAGATCTTGGTGTCCATGTGCATAGATCACTGAAAGTTGCCACCCAGGTTGATAGCGTTGTTAAGAAGGCGTATGGTGTGTTAGGTTTTATTGGTAGAGGGATTGAGTTTCGGAGCCATGAGGTCATGTTGCAGCTGTACAAAACTCTGGTGCGGCCACACTTGGAGTATTGCATACAGTTCTGGCCGCCGCATTATAGGAAGGATGTGGAAGCATTGGAAAGGGTGCAGAGGAGATTTACCAGGATGTTGCCTGGTATGGAGGGAAGGTCTTATGAGGAAAGGGTGAGGGACTTGAGGCTGTTTTCGTTAGAGAGAAGAAGGTTAAGAGGTGACTTAATAGAGACATACAAGATGATCAGAGGATTAGATAGGGTGGACAGTGGGAGCCTTTTTCCTCAGATGGTGATGGCTAGCACGAGGGCACATAGGTTTAAATTGAGGGGTGATAGATATAGGACAGATGTCAGAGGTAGGTTCTTTACTCAGAGAGTAGTAAGGGCGTGGAATACCCTGCCTGCAAAAGTAGTAGACTCGCCAACTTTAAGGGCATTTAAATGGTCATTGGATAAACATATGGATGATAATGGAATAGTTTAGGTTAGATGGGCTTCAGATTGGTTTCACAGGTCGGCGCAACATCGAGGGCCGAAGGGCCTATACTGTGCTGTAATGTTCTATGTTCTATGTTCTACGGTGCAGAGACCAAGTGGCTACACTCTGCATGTGGGTCAGATGTCCCAACTGCATGACAAAGACACGTAATGTCTCCATGAATGTGTCATTCAGATTGGTGTTTTGTATCTGGGGGAATGGTGATGAGAAGTATTGCCTGTGGGGTTTGCTTACCATCCAATAGTGGCAATGTGTGAGTTGAGGGAGGAGTCAGACTGCATCTCTTTCATTGTTGATTGTGGGTGGAGAGTAACATTGATATTGGAACCACTTTCTATAAAGGGTGAGGTAGACATTGAACTCAGTTTGAACTGCTCCTGCTCATGTCTTCAAAACAGGAAAGATGCAGTGAACTGGCAATTCAGTCTGCAGCAGATATATGCAGAATGTACTGCCTCCATGTGGCACTTCTGCGTAATCTACCATTATCTGACAGAGCCCTCAAAAAAGATGCTCCGTGGACAGATTTTGCTCATCGCTTCTTATTGCTGGTAAGTACTGCCTCTGAACAAAGCACAATAACAAGCTAAATGGTACCCTCTTACTTTTCAATTGTGTTGCCTAGTTGTAGACTTCCATTTTAACTGTAGCTAAGCTCTGTCTATCCCTTTGGTATTTTGTTGGTTTCAATGAGATCACCTCTCATGTTTTGAACCTTTAGAGAGTACAGGTCCAGTTCGTCCAATCTCTCTTCATAGAACATAGAACATAGAACAGAACAGCACAGTACAGGCCCTTTGGCCCACGATGTTGTACCGACCTATTATCCTACTAAGATCAATCTACCCTGTATACCCTACATTTTACTACCCTCCATGTGCCTTTCCAAGAGTCGCTTAAAAGTCTCTAAAGTATCTGACCCCACTACCACTGCCGGCAGCGCATTCCACACGCCCACCACTCTCCTCTGACATCTCCCCTATACCTTCCTCCAATCACCTTAAAATTAGGCCCCCTACTAATAGTCATTTTCGCCCTGGGATAAAGTCTCTGGCTATCCACTGTATTTATGCCTCATCATCTTGTACACCTCTATCAAGTCACCTCTCATCCTTCTTTGCTCCAATGAAAAAAACCCTAGCTCACTCAACCTTTCCTCATAAGACTTGCCCTCCAGGCCAGGCAGCATCCTGGTAAATCTCCACTGCTCCCCCTCTAAAGCTTCCACATCTTTCCTATAACGAGGTAACCAGAACTGACCACAATATTCCAAGTGCGGTCTAACCTGGGTTTTATAGAGCTGCAGCATAACCTCTCAGCTCTTAAACTCAATTCCCCTGCCAAAGCCAACACACCGTATGCCTTCTTAACAACCCTATCAACTTGGGTGGCAACTTTGAGGGATATATGGACATGGACCACAATATCCCTCTGTTCCTCCACACTGCCAAGAATCCTGCCATTAACCCTGTATTCTGCATTCAAATTCAACCTTCAAAATGAATCACTTCACACTTTTCTGGGTTGAATTCCATCTGCCACTTCTTTGCCCAGCTCTGCATCCTGTCAATGTCCCGTTGCAACCTACAACAGCCCTCCACGTTGTCCACAACTCCACGAACCTTCATGTCATCGGCAAACTTACTAACCCACCCTTCCACTTCCTCATCCAAGTCATTTATAAAGATCACAAAGAGCAGGGGTACCAGAACAGATCCCTGCGGAACACCACTGGTCACCGAGCTCCAGGCTGAATACTTTCCATCTACTACCACCCTCTGTCTTGTATTGAACAGCCAGTTTTGTATCCAGACAGCCAAATTTCCCTGAATCCCATGCCTCCTTACTTTCTGAATGAGCCTACCATGGGGAACCTTATCAAATGCCTTGCTAAAATCCATACACACCACATCCACTGCTCTGCCTTCATCAATGTGTTTTGTCACATCCTCAAAGAATTTGATAAGGCTTGTGGGGTATGATCTGCCCCTCAAAAGCCATGCTATTTCTCATCAAACTGTGCTTTTCCAAATAATCATAAATACGATCTCTAAGAATCCTCTCCAATAATTTGTCCACTACAGAAGTAAGCCTGACCGGTCTGTAATTCCCAGGATTATCCCTATTCCCTTTCTTGTACAAGGGAATGACATTTGCCACCCTCCAATCTTCTGATACTACTCCAGTGGACAGTGAGGATGCAAAGATCATCGCCAAAGGGGCAGCAATCTCTTCCCTTGCTTCCCGTAGTAACCTTGAGTATATCCCGTCTGGCCCAGGGGACTTATTTGTCCTCATGTTTTTCAAACTTTCTAGCACATCCTCCTTCTTAACATCAACCGGTTCGAGCATATCTGCCTGTTTCATGCTGTCCACACAAACGTCAATGTCCCTCTCACTGGTGAATACTGAAGCAATGTATTCATTAAGGACCTCCCCTACCTCCTGTGACACTGTGCACAATTTCCCTCCACTGTCCCTGATTGGCCCTACCCTCACTCTGGCCATCGTCTTGTTCCTCACATAAGTATAGAACGCCTTGGGGTTTTCCTTAATCCTACCTGCCAAGGCTTTTTCATACCCTCTTCTAGCTCTCCTAAGTCCATTCTTCAGTTCCTTCCTGGCTACCTTGTAGCTCTCTAGAGCCCTGTCCAATCCTTGCTTCCTCAGCCTTAAGTAAGCTTCCTTCTTCCTCTTGACTAGATGTTCCACATGTCTTGTCATCCAAGGTTCCTTCACCTTACCATCCCTTCCTTGCCTCAGTGGGACAAACCTATCCAGTATTTGTAGCAACTGCTCCCTAAACAACCTCCATGTTTCTGTCGTGCATTTCCCTGAGAACATCTGTTCCCAATTATGGTCCACCAACCTGGGCTGAAGTCGGGTGAACTTCTGTTGCTTCTGTAGTAATAACATCTTTCCTGAGATAATAGAATAACAATTTATTGTCACGTGTAATTTTCCAAACAAAAATACAGTGAAATGTTTTATAAGTCACCACACCATGGCATCTAAATCAATGACAGAATTCACATAAGAAGGAAAACAAAGTAAAAGTTCATCACAGTTCAATTAATGGCTCCTGGATTTGGGACACGCTGGAAGACTGGGCCAGGACTGCGACACAAGGCCAAGACCTCCAAGTCAGGTCTAGACCACCACACTGGGCCATTGGAAAACCCAGAACCCAGCTCCAAAGCAAGGATGAAACCTCCAGGCCAGGACTAGATCTCTGCGTCAGGACAAGAATGCCAGTCCAGGCCAACACTGCTCCTCCTGGACAAAACCACCTCGCTGGGAGATCACCTTGCTGGGAGACCACGTCACCAGGAGACCGCGTCACCATTCTGGTGATTATTCTGGGCTATTGGAAGCCACCTTGTTGCTGGGCCTGGACCAGGGGAGAACACCTTCTGCCGAAGTCATTACAAGAAAGTAAAGTATCCCAATAAATGGAATTTTTTTTAAAAAAATGCAGAGAAAGAAAAGAAAGTGTAGTGGATGGAAACCAGAACTGTACACAATACTCTCGATGCAGTCTAACCAAGCTCCCGTACAAGATGACCAAGACCTCACTACTCCTGAACTCAGATCCTCTTGTGATAAAGCCGAATGTTCCATTAACCTTCCTAAGAGCTTTCTGCACCTACCTTCAGTGGTTTATCGACAAGGACATCTGTTGCACACCTACATCTTCCAATCTCTCACCATTTGAGAAATAGAACTGTTCCTCCAACCAAAGTGGATAACCTCACCTTTTCCCACATTATATTCTGAGCACAATGTTTTTGCCAATTTACTAAGCTTGTCCAAATCCTCCTGAGACTACTTTGCATCTTCCTCACAATTCTAATTCCCACTTAGCTTCGAATTGTCTGCAAGTGAGGAAATATTCCATTTGGTCCCACAGTTGTTCGGTGTTGTGAACAGTTACGGCGCAAGCACTGATCCTTGTGGTACCCCACTAGTCAAAGCCTGCCAATGTGAGAATGAGTCATTTATTCCTACTCTCTGTTTTCTTTATCAATTTTGTGAGTGACATCTTCAAAAACTCTCACAAGTTTGTCAACAGGTCTATACTGCATGAACTTTTTCTCTCTTGTTCCCTTCTTAAATAGTAGGGTGACATTTGCCACTTTCCAATCGACAAGAATCATTCCAGAATCCATAGAATTTTGGAAGATCATCATCAATACATTGACATCTCTATAACTATCTCCTTCATCGCATTGGGATGTGGACCATCAGTTCTTAGGGATTTATCATCTTTCAGCCCAATTAATTTCACAGTGCAATGTTTTTACTAATGCTAATTTCCTTCAAGTTCTCATCCTCCCTAGCCACTTGGTATTCCTGGTATCTTCGTCAGCAAAAACAGACACTTTTTAGTTTCTCTGCTATTTCTCTGTTCCCCAATAAAAATTCTCCTGATTCTGCCTTCAGTGGACCCACATTTGTTTTGCCAAATGTTTCACTTTTACATACCTATTGAAATTTTTACCATCCATTTTAATGTTTTTTTACCAATTGCATTTATATTCTATTCTCGCTTTCCTTATCAGTTTCTTGTTCCTCCTTTGTCGCATTCTATAAAGTTCCTAATCCTCATAAATTACTGCTATCTCTGGAAACTTTATAAACCTTCACTTTTTATCTTAAACAATCCTGAATTTTCTTTGATAACACAGTGTGGATAACACAATTTTTCTGAAGATGGGTTCCGACCTGAAATATCAACTTTCCTGCCCCTCTGATGCTGCCTGGCCTGCTGTGTTCCTCCAGCTCCACACTGTGTTATCTCTGACTCCAGCTTCTGCAGTTCTTGCTATCCCTGAATTTTCTTTGCCTCTTTTTTGTATTTTTACATTTTTGTATGAAGGAAATTATAATTTATTGGGCTTTTTCAATTAGGAGAAGAGCACTGGTATTATTTTTGTTGGTAACAATAATAGAATCTCTACAGGCCCCTGGGCCCATCAAGTCCCTCCAAAGAGCATCCTTCCAAGACCCACCCTGTCCCTGCATTTCCCATGGCCAATCCACCTAACCTACACGTCTTTCGAGTGTGAGACAAAACCACAGCACCCAGCAGAAACAGGAAGAATGTGCAAACTCCACACAGTCACTCAAGAGTGGAATTGAACTGAGGTCCCTAGCACTGTGAGGCAGTAGTGCTAACCACTGAGCCACCGCACTGCCTACATGATAATGATACACTGAGTGTGACCATTTGAACTATTGCATATGTGCCAGCTCTTCAAGGATGAAATCCCTACGATCTGGCAGTGGCTATTGGCAATGTGAGGAGATTCGCGTCTCTGGGTATACGGTCAAAGGGCAAACGTATTGCTACCACATCCCCCACTGGACAAACAATCCAGAGAGAGGTGGGGTGGGAGGGGAGCTCGAGTATATTAGTTCCTTATCCAGAAACATTTGATTGTTATGTTGGATAACTAAGGTTCCATTTGTGGTCAGGACGGGCCTCCTGCTAGGATCATGTCACCAAAGGCTGAGACCAGAAAGGGTCTGGCAGCAGCTCACTGGCCTTGGGGTTGGGTTGGGGTCTGTGGTGTGGAGGGGGTGCTTCCCACATGTCCCACTCCCCAGCCACCTCCTGCTGTGGCAGTGCCTACCACCACCAGTTGAGCTGATGCCCTTCCAAGCATGCAGACTCCAGATTGGGCCTGTGGGCCTCGGAGGTAGCCAGTGAGGTGCTGATCTGCCACACGATCATGAGGGCATTCACATTGCCTTTAAGCATGAGGTTAGGACCTTGTCCGTACTGTGTTTAAAGGGGCAAAGGTTCGGCCCTGAAAGAGCTGTAAAATTCTTCGCAGCAACGTCTCACCCACCTCCCGACCCTTACTCCTGCTCTTTCCCTGCAGCCCTGACCTGAAAATATCTTTCTGTTCAATTCTTTATTGAGTTCCCTTTCGCAAATTCCTATTGAATCTGCTTCCAATGCTCCTCCGGACAGTGTGCTCCAGAATAGAGTAATCAGCAGGAAATTGCTTTTTCTTTATAGAGAAGGACAGCAGAGTATTTCATCCTGAAAAAATTGCTGGGCGCTGGATGGAAAATTGACATGACTTATCTGAGTGATCTGAATGATGGCCGTTTGTTGAGGACTGTCGCAAAACTGTGCTCTGAAAAGTCACGTTGTACAGGTAAATCTCCAAGTCACTGGATTAATGATTTCTTCTTTACTTCCCACCCAGTCATTGAGCTCCACTTCCTAGCCACTCACTGTTTTTCTCCTCCTGTATCTCTTCCCATAAACCTTAAGCTGAATCTCTGTTCCTTGTACTGTCAGCTATTGGGAAAAGCCTTTCTTTTCAATCTTACCCAACCTGGCCATAATCTTGCACCTCTATCGGGTCTGCCATCCATCGCCACTAAGGAGACAAACCCTAACTTCTCCAAACTTGCCTTGTAGCTAACTTTATACATAGGAGAGGCAATGTCCTAATGTTATTATTGCCAAACTATTAATCTGAAGATCCAGGTAAAATTTGGGGGATCTGGGTTTGAATCATCCCATGGAAGATGGTGGAATTTGAATTCAATAAATATCTGGAACTAAGAGTCGAATAATGACCACTAATCCATTGTTGATTGCTAGGGAAAAAAAAACATCTGGGTCACTAATGCCCTTTAGGGAAGGAAACTGCCATCCTTACCTGGTCTGGCCTACATGTGACTCCAGACCCACAGCAATGTGGTTGACTTTTAACTGCCCTTTGGACAATTAGGGATGGGCAATAAATGCTGCCTGGCCAGCGATGCCCTCATCCTGTTGATAAAATAAAATTCATTCATGGAATGTGGGAGTCTTTGGTTAGGTCAGCATTTATTGCCCATCCTGAATTTCCCAGAGGGCAGTTAATAGTCAGGCACATTGCTGTGGATCGCATGTAGGTCAGACCTACAGGATGGCAGTTTCCTTCATTAAACGATATTTGTGAACCAGTTGCATTTCTCCAGACAATCAAGTATGGTTTCATGGTCATTATTAAACGCTTAATTTCACATTATTATTAAAGTCATAATCCACCATCTGCCATGGCGAGATTCAACCTCAGATCCCAAGAACATTGCCTGGCTGACTGGCAGCGTTTACCATCCAGGAGATACACTGCAATAACTAACCAAGGCTCCTTAGGCAGACACTTGGAAGGACAAGGGCAGCAGATTCATGGGAACACCATCTTCTGCAAGCTCCCTGCCCAAGTCACACACCATCATCACTTAGAAATATTTCACTGTTTCTTCAGTGTCGCAGGGTAAAAATCCTGGAACTCCATACCTCCATCATGGGTCTGCGTACTACCTAGTGGACAGCAGTGGTTCAAGAAAGTATCTCTGAACCACCTTCATGAGCAATTAAGGATGGGCAATAACTGCTGATAGTGCGTCATGACCCATTAAAGATGATGAATATCACTGATCATTGAAAATATTGCCCACTTTCCATTACTCATCCAAAATGGAAGAACCTTCGCTATTGTGAATATTGGAGGTCAGGGATCTGACAGTGTTTAGTTCCGGCCTGTATTGTATGGCAATTTCCCAGCATGGGCTAGAACATGGAACATAGAACATAGAACATCGAACAGTACAGCTCAGTAAAGGCCCTTTGGCCCACGATGTTCTGCCGAACTTTTACCCAGAACCCTAAGCTCTATCTAACCTCCACCCCTACCTTATACTATCATCCATATGCCTGTCTAATAGCCATTTAAATGCCCCTAATGAGGCCAACTCCACTACCCTTTCCGGCAATGCATTCCACGCCCCTACCATTCTCTGAGTAAAGAACCTACCTCTGACGTCTCCCCTATATCTAACTCTGCTCACTTTAAAACTATGCCCCCTCGTAATAGCTACCTCCATCCTAGGAAAAAGTCTCTGGCTGTCCACTCTATCTATACCTCTGATCATTTTGTACGCCTCCATCAAGTCACCTCTCATCCTTTGTCGTTCTAAAGAGAAAAGCCCTAGCTCTCTTAACCTTTCCTCATAAGACTTTCCCTCCATTCTAGGCAACATCCTGGTAAATCTCCTCTGCACCTTTTCCAATGCTTCCACATCTTTCCTGTAATGAGGCGACCAGAACTGGACACCATAGTCCAGATGTGGCCGAACCAGGCTTTTGTATAGCTGGAGCATAACTTCATGGCTCTTGAACTCAATCCCTCTATTAATGAAAGCGAACACACCATACGCCTTCTTGACAACTCTATCCACCTGGGTGGCAGCTCTCAGGGAACTGTGGACATGAATCCCAAGATCCCTCTGCTCCTCCACACTGCCAAGAATCTTTCTGTTAACCCTGTATTCTGCTTTCAAGGTTGTCCTTCCAAAATGAATCACCTCACACTTTTCAGGGTTAACCTCCATCTGCCACTTCTCAGCCCAGCTCTGCATCCTATCAATGGCCCTTTGTAACTTAGAACAGATCTCCGCAGTATCCACAACTCGACCCACCTTCGTATCATCTGCGAACTTGCTAATCCACCCTTCCACTCCTTCATCCAAATCATTTACAAAAATCACAAATAGAAGAGGACCCAGAACAGATCCTTGTGGTATACCACTTGTAACTGAGCACCATGTTGAATATTTTCTGTCCACTATCACCCTTTATTTTCTTAGGGTCAGCCAATTCTGAATCCAATCTGCCACATTTCCCCCTATCCCATGTCTCCTTACTTTCTGCATGAGCCTACCATGGGGAACCTTATCAAACGCCTTACTTAAATCCACGTATACCACATCCATTGCTCCACCTTCATCCATGTGTTTGGTCACCTCTTCAAAGAATTCAATAAGGTTTGTGAGGCATGATCTACCCCTCACAAATCCATGCTGACTATCACGAATCAAACTGTGCCTTTCCAAGTGATCATAAATCCTGTCTCTCAGAGCCCTTTCCAATAATTTGCCCACCACTGACGTAAGACTAACTGGCCTGTAATTTCTGGGGTTATCCCTATTTCCCTTTTTGAACAAGGGAATGACGTTTGCCTCCCTCCAATCTTCCAGCACTATACCCGTGGACAGGGAGGACGAAAAGATCATCGCCAAAGGCCCAGCGATCTCTTCTCTCGCTTCCCATAGAATCCTTGGATAAATCCCATCAGACCCGGGGGACTTATCTATCTTCAAGTTCCTCAAAATTCCTAGTACATCTTCCCTACTAACATTGACCTCCTCTAGCCTACCAGCCTGTTTCACACTGTCCTTCTCTACAACTAGGTCCCTCTCAGTTGTGAATACCAAAGAAAAGTATTCATTAAGGACTTCTCCTATCTCTTTAGGCTCCGTGCACAAATTCCCTTTACAATCCTTGATTGGCCCTACCCTTTCTCTGGTCATTCTCTTATTCCTGACATACGTGTAAAAAGCCTTGGAGTTTTCCTTGATCCTATCTGCCAAGGTTTTCTCATGCTCCCTTACAGCTCTCCTAAGCCCTTTCTTCAGCTCCTTCCTGGCTAAATTGTCTCCCTCTAGAGCCTTTTCCATTCCTTGTTTCCTAAACCTTACATAAGCATCCTTCTTCGTCTTAACCAGTTGGTCGACCTCTTGAGAACCAAGGCTCCCTCACTTGACCGCATCTTCCCTGCCTGCTAGGGACAAATATATCGAGCACATGCAGTATGCATTCCTTAAACAATCTCCACATTTCAATAGTGCTCTTCCCTGACAGCATCTGTTCCCATTTTATGTTACCCAGTTCTTGCCTAACAGAATTGTAATTACCCTTCCCCCAATTATAAACCTTACCCTGCTGTATGTATCTATCCTTTTCCATGACTATTGTGAAAGTAACAGAGTTATGATTGCTACTGCCAAAATGCTCTCCTACCAACAGGTCTAACACTTGGCCCGGTTCATTGCCAAGCACCAAATCCGAAGTGGCCTCTCCTCGTGTTGGTCTACCTACATGCTGTGTCAGGAATCCTTCCTGAACGCACTGGACAAAATCCGCTCCATCTAAACTATTACAACTAAAACATTTCCAATCAATGTTTGGAAAGTTGAAATCAGCCATGACTACAACTCTGTGACATCTGCACCTTTCTAGTATCTGCCTCCCAATCCACTCCTTCACTTCTCTGCAACTATTAGGGGATCTGTAAAAAAAACCCCAACAAAGTGACTGCTCCTTTCTTGTTCCTGACCTCAATCCAAACTGACTTTGTAGGCATATCATATAGAGTTATTTACAATGCAGGTAACCTAAATTGAAATTCACCTTCGGAGGCGTCAAGTGCGGCCTAGAGTCGACATAGGACGAGAGATAGCCCTTCATCACTGAGTCAAAAAGGTTTAAGTTAAAGTTCTGCATTCAACTGACTTAACCCTTAACCAACATCTGAAAGCACTCACCCAGTTGTCTAGTCATTAGCGAATCTTGTGACTCCACTTCAAACGAACAATTACTTTCCTGGGTGCTGGTTGCAAAAATCCACCGTGATATTTCTTTGACAGTGATGTTGGTTTGTGAGGTGGTTATACCGGGTTGCCCATTGAGGTGAGTCTTTTCCCAGACCATATCCTGTAGGACATGTCTGTTGGATAGTGAGGAGTGCTTATTGATGAGGTGTAACTGCAGTGCAATTACAATGATGTCCCTAACACGTGTTCCTCTTTAACAGACACAGAGGACCAATTAGGCAGCAAGATTGGAGGTGAATACAAACATATCTGGGAAACAGTTGCGAAGACTTCACCTGAACTCAATGTAGGACATGCTTTCCCAGTGACATGTACCTCAATGATATTTCTGAAACCAACAGAGCCTAAAGGTATGTTTAACAGCACAGTTTAGTCTTATTTTTCACTAACTGTTTACACTACATTCAGTGAATATAATCCACTGTTTTTAGGAGTCTAGGTAAATCCAGGAGAAAAAGCCTCTCAGGCCATCAAAACTGTCCCATCTGTGTGTGTCTCCTCAAATAGCCATAATGACTCTGCCCCTTCACAGAGTAAACTATCCCATTCACAAAAGGGTTATCACACAAGATGGCAGAACTGATTTTTCAGGGATGACTGAACAGACAGGGGATGTTGAGGGGTTTGGGGGGTGATGTAATATAAGATTTCAAGACAATAAAAAAGAGATTTGATAGTGTAGACGTACAGGAGATATTTCCATCCAACGAGGTAGCCTCAACTGTTTCACTGGGTAGGGATTTCCACAGATTCACAACCCTTTGGGTGAAGAAGTTCCCCTTCAATTCAGTCCTGAATCTGTTCCCCCTTAATTTGAGGCTATGCCCTCTTGTTCTGGTTTCACCCACCAGTGGGTAAAACCTCCTTGCTTTTATCTTCTCTGTCACATTCATAACATAATGCATTGAGGCTACCTTGCTGAATCTTTTTAAGGCAATGGTAGATGGATTTTTGAACAGTAAAGGAATTAAGAGTTAAGGTGAGAGGGTGCGTAAGTGGAGCTGAGGTCATGAAAAGCTCAGCCATGAATCTTACTGAATGGCGGAGTAGGCTTGAGAGACCAGACTCCTGCTCCTGGTTCTTATCAAACCAAGAGGCTATAAGCAACCACACATAAATTCAGCATGCAAAAATAGAGAAACAGAGAACTGTGGGTGCTGGAGATCTGAATCAAACAAAAGCAGAAAGCGCTGGAGAAACAAAAACAAAGTTGCTAGAAAAACTCAGCGGGTCTGGCAGCATCTGTGGAGGAGAAAACAGAGTTAACGTTTCGGGTCCAGTGACCCTTCCTCAGTTCTGTTTTTTCCTTCACAGATGCTGCCAGACCTGCTGAGCTTTTCCAGCAACTTTGTTTTTGTTCCTGATTTACAGCATCCGCAGTTCTTTTGGTTTTTATTAAGTGCTGGAGAAACTCCGCAGTTCTGGCAGCATCTGTGGAGAGAGAAACAGAGAGTCAGAAACAGTTAACATTTCGAGTCCAGTAATCCTTCTTCGGAACAGTTCTAGCTGTTCATTGGTTATACAGTCTGTGACCACGTATAATAGGTTATAGTCATTATCTCTCAGGAGATAACAGTATCTCTTACCTAGTATTAATGGAATTAACCAGTCGTAAGCAGTTGTCTTAATAATATATCATAAATTACTTCTTGTTATTCAAGTACATATCTCTTCTGCTGAACATAAGAACATAAGAAATAGGAGCAGGAGTAGGCTATCTGTCCCATTGAGCCTGCTTTGCCATTCAATAAGATCAGGGCTGATCTTTTCATGGACTCAGCTCCACTTACCCACCCTCTCACCATAACCCTTAATTCCTTCACTGTTCAAAAATCTATCATTGCCTTAAAAACATTCAATGAGTAGCCTCAACTGCTTCGTTGGGCAGGGAATTCCACAAGACATATTAGTGGTTAATTCTTCACCACTTAATATGAGTACTGCCATGTAGATTTGTATTACAGGAGCTACAGGTACTACCCTGGCTTAGCCAAATGCCAACTGCGGGCATCTCTTGCAACACTATTCATGTTTCACTTCCCGAGTGGAGTATACAGAGATCTGGACTGAAGCGGTTCAAGAAGGCAGCTCACCACCACCTTCTCAAGGGCAACGAGGGATGGGCAATAAATGCTGGCCAGCCAGCGATGCCCACATCCCATGAGAGAATGAAACATTGTAAAATGTAGGAGAGGTAGGCCATTCAGTCCATCGAATCTGCTACACCATTAAGTGAGATCATGGCTGATTTGATAATCCTCAACTCCACTTCCTTTTAACCTTTGCATACCTTTGTCTTGAATATTCTTAATGGCCAGTCTCAACAGCCCGCTATGGTAAAGAATTCCACAGATTCATTACTCTCTAGAAAGAAGAGATTCCTCAACATCTTAATCTTAAATGTGTAACCCTTTACTCTGAGTTAATACTTTATGGTCCTAAACACTACCACAAGGGGGAAAGAACCTCTCTGTCAAGTCCTGGAATAATATTAAAATAAACACAAAATATTGCACATGCTGCAAATCTGAAATAAGAACATCGAGAGCTGGGGAAGCGCAATAGATCTGGCAGTATCTGTTGAGAGAAAAACAGAGTTGACATTTCAAAGATATTATTAAGCTGGAGAAGAGTTCAGAAAAGATTTACCAGGATGTTACCGGGAATGGAGACTTTGAATTATGGGGAGAGGCTGGATAAGCTGGGACTTTTTTTCACTGGAGCGTAGGAAGTTGAGGGGTGACTGGACAGGAATTTATAAAATCATGAAGGGTATAGATAAGGCGAATGGTAGGTGTCTTTTCCCTAGCATGTGGGATTTCAAGATTGGGGGCATATTTTTAAGGTGAGAGGAGAAGGATTTAAAAAAGACATGACGGGCAAAATTTTTTAACGTGTGTGGAATAAATTCCAGAGAAAGTGATGGATGTGGGTACAGTTGCAACGTTTAAGAGAAATTTGGATCAGTGCATGAAAAGGAAATGTTTGGAAGGAAATAGGCAAAGTATAGGCAGGTGGGACTAGTTGGTATTATGGTCAGCATAGACTGGTTGGACCAAAGGGTGTATTTCTGCACTGTATGGCTCTATGACTGTGACTCTACAAGTCCAGTTATCCTTTGTTAGAACACAAAACGTTAACTCTATTTCTCTCTCAAAAGATGCTGCCGGACCTGCTGAGTTTCACTAGAAATTTCTGTTTCTGTTCTGTTACAAGTACTGTATGTTTGAATAAGGTTGTCTCTGATTCTTCTAAAGCCCAATCAGTTTAAAAGTGAAAATAACTTTGACTTAGATCTCTGTGTTGTGAGGACGAGTCAGAAAGTTGAACTCTCATTCTAGCTTTCCTTTGTACAGATGCATCCAGGCAGAAAATTCCAGCCAGTGGGTTAATACCAATGAAGTCAACGTTAGTTGAAGAATTTATTGGGGATTTATTGGAACAATTGCCACAACTCAACAGGTAAATGAAACATGACTAACTGATGATATTGTGTTTGGCGTTTTCACCCTTAATAACCAACCATGATTCTCTCTGCTGCTAGTGAGGACCTGGAACATGAACCACAATATAAGCTGAAAGAGTTTGATGAGGTTTTACATTGGCATTCCAGAAAACACATTGTATCTACTCTCAAAGGCCATCATGAGAACATGAAGGAAGCAATGAGAGGTAAATAATTTATCTTAGATATATATAATCTCTTGGTCACATGAAACAGTAACATTGCTGAGCAGGGAGGTATGTCGCTAAAACTTTCTACCTTGCATTAATCAGGAATGCCAATTTTCAGACGATCACAATGTATGTAAGGAGTAAGGGTACAGGTTGGTTGACAAGAGAACTCCAATTGACAAGAGCATCAAATTCTTAGGAGAGACGATCACCAATAATCTGTCCTGGCCCAACCACGTAGATGCGACGGTCAAGAAGGCACAACAATGCCTCTTCTTCCTCAGGAAGCACTATAGAAAGCATTCTATCTGGATGCTTCATGGCTTGGTACGGCAACTGCTCTGCCCAGGACTGTAAGAAACTACAGAAAGTTGTGAACAACAGCCCAGTCCATCACGCAAGCCAAACCTCCCATCCATTCACTCCATCTACACTTCTTGTTGCCGTGGAAAGGCAACCGACATTATTAAAGATCCCTCCTACCTCATTTATAATCTCTTCCAACCTCTTCCATCAGGCAGAAAACACAAAAGCTTAAACACAAGTATCAACAGGTTCAAGGACAACTTCTTCACTGCCATTATTAGACTGCTGAACAGGCCTCTCAAATTTCAAATCTAATGTTGATTTTGCTTTTTAACACAATCTGTGCAGACATAACCTTGTATGCCCTGCTCTGTTCAATCACCTGATATTCAATGTATATTATGGTCTGCCTGTACTGCTCGCAAAACAAAATTTTTCACTGTAGTAAGTTATGTGCAACAATAATAAAACAAATCGCCAAGGCATTGCATATCATAGAATCCCTACAGTGTGGAAACAGGCCCTTCAGCCCAACAAGTCCACACTGAACCTCAGAGCATCCCACCCAGACCCATCCCCCATAATCTTCACATCCCTGAACACTACGGGCAACTTAGCACGGCCAATCCACCGAGCCTGCGCGTCTTCGGACTGTGGGAGGAAACCCACACAGACACAGGGAGAATGTGCAAACTCCACATAGACAGTCACCTGAGGGTGGAATCGAACCCGGGTCCCTGGCACTGTGAGGCAGCAGTGCTAACCACTGAGCCACTGCCTTGAGCAAAGCAGTGTCTTCTATTAAATACAATTCCAGGTGACAGTGCAGCACTTCCATCTGCTGTTGACTTAACAATCAATTTAAGACCCTCAGTCGAGCTTGGATTGTGGCTGACTTACACTTTCTAGAAGTGACGCACATTTATATGCAGGGACCCGTCCTCCGCAAACAAAAGAGGTATGTTCAAGCCTTGTGGCATTTTTGAATAATCCAGGAGCTTGCGGAAGTCGTAGTTCTCAGAATCCAGGCTTGGGCTGACAAGTGGCAAATGGTAAATGCATCCTCTGTGGGCTGCAGCTGTTCAACAGGAAGCCCACCACCAATTCCAGTGAATGAATGAGATAAAAAAAACTTCGCTCCCCTCAGTCAGCACAAGGCATTGTGTTCTGATCTGTGACTGTCCAGTGCACACTGTTTAACTAACAAGTCAAGCGTGGGGATTGATTTGGACTCGCTTTTGTATTCAACCCACTTCTTATCCACTTTATTATCTGTTAAAGATCCAAAGAAATGGGGAAAGCTGTTACGCAATGAGCAAAAGCTTGTTGCGCATGAGAGACTTTATGCCGAATCTCTGGATGAAAACGCAGCAGTGACTATTGTCACCAGTCCATCAGTGGTCACCAAGGACTCAGCAAAACAGCAACATCAGCCGAGAAAGGGTAACAGCAGCAAGCCAGCGGTAGGTCAATTACCAGCATCGACCATTTCACATCTTCTGCTGGCCATCTCCCCTATGACCCTCCTTCCTCCTGAAAGGCATTGACTACTCACTGGGGCTTTGCTAGTTGCTGGGTGACTGCTTTTGTGTGCAAGACCTGAATGTGTATTTAGGCCAGGACAGAGAGACAAAAGAATCAAGTCAGGTCTTCAACTCAATGCAAAGACATATACATGGGTATACGCAAAAGGGCAAACATGCAAATACATTTGTATACACACACACACACACTCTCTCTCACACACACACTCTCTCTCACACAGACACACAGTCTCTCACACACACACTCTCTCACAAACACTCTCTCTCACACAGACACACACTCTCTCACACACACTCTCTTCACACACACACACTCTCTCTCACACACACACTCTCTCTCACACACACTCTCTCTCACACAGACACACACTCTCTCTCACACACACAATCTCTCATTCACACTCACTCTCTCTCTCACACACACACACACGCTCTCTGTCACACAAACACACTCTCTCTCTCACACACACACTCTCTCGCACACAGACACACACACACACACACACACACCCCCGGCAGAAATGAGGACTGGGGTCATTTGGTGGGTAAGGTCATGTCAGATGCTCATCACTCAGCCCTGCCTGCTGGAGTTCTGTGGGTAATGGGTGAGATGTTAGGTGGCCTGACCACCCTTCAGCTAACTGATGGGCTGAAGTGGCAAGTTGATGCCCAGTTGACCACTGCAACCCATCGTTGCTGGTATTGTACCTGTGGCAGATGATGCCTTGGCCTCCTGGAGAAGCTGGCAGAGAAACTCTGGAGTTCTCACCATGGGCCAGATGTACTGGAGGAGAGCAGAGTGCTGGGAGAGGGACAGGGAGGGCTGGAGATGGTGTGGTGGCAATGGTAGCCTCCTGGACAGTCAGCAATGCCCATTGGAAGCCTTACCAACCGACGCTAATTGAATGCTCCCCTCATCTCTCCCATCCCATGTTCCTCTAGGCTGGCTCGCCGATCATGACCAGGCCAAACCCCTGGCCTTCCCTCCATCATAATGTCAGAAGTGGGGATGTCCGCTGATGATTTCACAATGTTCAGCACCATTTGCAATTCCTCAGACATTGAAGCAGTCCATGTCCAAATGCAACAAGATCTGGACAATATCCAGGCTTGGCTAACAAGTGACAAGTAACATTTGTGCTAAGCAAATGCCAGGCTACAACTATCTCTAATAAGAGATATTCTAACCATCACCCCTTGATATTCAATGGTGTTACCATCACTAAATCCCCCACTATCAACAGCATAGGGGTTATCATTGACCAGAAATTCAACTGGACTCACCACATAAACACAGTGGCTACAACAGCAGGTCAGAGGATAAGAAGTCTGCAGTAAGTAACTCATCTCCTGACTCCCCAAAGCCTCTCCACCAACTACAAGGCACAAGTCAGGAGTGTGATGGAACACTCCCCACTTTCCTGAATGAGTGCAGCTCCAACAACACTCAAGAAGCTTGACACCATCCAGAATAAAGCAGCCCGCTTGATTGGCACCACATCCACAAACATTCACTCCCTCCACCACTGACGCTCAGTAGCAGCAGTGTGTACTATCTACAAGATGCCCTGCAGAAATTCACTAAAGATCCTCAGACAGCACCTTCCAAACCCATGACCACTTCCATCTAGAAGGACAAAGGCAGCAGGTACGTGGGAACACCACCACTGACAGGTTCCCCTCCAAGTCACTCACCATCCTGACTTGGAAATATATCACCGTTCCTTCACTTCAAAGTCGCTGGGTCAAAATCCTGGAATTCCCTCCCTAAGGGCATTGTGGGTCAACCCACATCAGGAGGACTGCAGCGGTTCAATAAGGCAGCTCACTACCAACTTCTCAAGGGTAACGAGGGACGGGAAATAAACGTTGGTCCAGTTAGCAATGTCCATGCACGATGACAGAATAAAACCAAACCTTGGCAAAGACATCCTATGTTTCACGGCTTCCAGCGTGGGTCCTGGTGATGGAATGACTACACTCCCAGCAGCAGTCACCATTTGTGCTGGCAGGGGCCTGCAGGTTTTGGAGGCACGTGTTCCTCCCATTGGGGGCCAAAGCCACGACCCTGACCCAATTGTCAGGGAGAAGCCCATTAAACTATTTCCATGGAGCTGGACTAGCCTGGTGCCTTACCTCCATGTAAAATTCTGGCCGCACACAGATATGGGGCATAAACAGGCACAGATACAGCCTCATGCATACTCACTTATACACACTCGTATTTGTATAAAGCTGCAAGCACTTTCTCACACACACACACACAAAAACATTGGGGCACACATGCGCATGCAGACACACATACACAGAGATACAAATTCAGAGATTCAACCAGATAACAGTCTGGAATGACTGGTATATGATTATCACTGTCCTGTCTCATGAAACCTGTTGCCCTAGCCCCTGCCTTCTATCAATCTTCTTTTTCACTTTGTCTATGTTTCACCCTGTGATATTTGCCCTGAGTCCCACACCTCATTATGTCTGTCACCTCTGCCAGACTGTAACGCAGGATAAAGATTGTTTAAGATAGTTTGCTGCCACCAATCCTCCTTTGTCAATACTGTGTCTAGGGCCTGTCTAATGATCAGTGGCAAAGGATTATAAAAGATAGAATTATGGACATTTAGAGAGGCAAAAATTGGCTAGGGATAGTCAGCATGGTTTTGTGTGAGGAAAATCATGTCTCACAAACTTGATTGAGTTTTTGGAGGAAGTTACCAAGCAGATTGATGATGGCAGAGCAATAGTTGTTGTTTATTTGGATTTTAGTTAAGCCTTTGACAAGGTTCTGCATGGTAGACGAATTAGTAAAGTTGGGTCACATGGGATTCAGGGTGAGCTTGCCAATTGGATACATAATTGGCTTAATGACAGGAGACAGAGAGTAATGGTGGAGGGTTGGTTTTCGGATTGGAGGCCTGTGGCCAGCGGTGTTCCACAGGGATTGGTTCTGGGTCTTTTGTTTGTCATTTATATAAATGATTTGGATGAGAATATAGAAGGCATGGTTTTTAAGTTTGTGGATGACTCCAAAATTGGTGGTATTGTAGACAGTGAAGAAGGTTTTCTAAGATTGCAGAGGGATCTTGATCAAAAGGGTCAATTGGCTGAAAAATGGCAGATGGAGTTCAATCTGGATAAATGCGAGGCATTGCATTTTGGTACAACAAACAAGGGTAGGACTTATACAATTAATGGTAGGGCCTTGGGTAGTGTTGTAGAACAGAAGGACCTAGGGGTGAGGGTACATAGCTCCTTAAAGTTTGCGTCACATTTAGACAGCGTGGTTAAAAGGGCATTTGGCACGTTTGCCTTCACTGCTCAGTCCTTTGGGTTTAGGAGTTGGGATGTTACGTTGAGGTTGTACAGGACATTGGTGAGGTCTCTCCTGGAATACTGTGTCCAGTTCTGGTCACCCAGTTATTGGAAGGATATTGTAAAGCTGGAAAAGGTTCAGAAGAGATTTCTCAGGATATTGCCGGGTATAGAAGGTTTGAGTTATAAGGAAAGGTTAGCTAGGCTGGGACTTTTCTCACTGGAGTGTTGGAGGTTGAGAGGTGACCTGATAGAAGTTGTTAATATAATGAGAGATATAGATAGAGGTAATGGTTGTTGTCTTTTCCCTAAGATGGGGAATTTCAAGACTGGGGGCACATTTTTAAGTGAGAGGAAAGAGATTTTAAAAAGATATAAGAGGCAAATATTTTACACAGAGGGTGGTTCACGTGTGGAATGAACTTTTTGATGAAGTGGCGGATGCGGGGAAAATAACAACATTTAAAAGACATCTGGATGGATATGTGAATGGGAAAGTTTGGAGGGATATGGGCTAGGAGCAGACAGGTGAGACTAGTTTAGTTGGGGAAACTTGGTCAGCTTGGAAGGGTTGGACTGAAGGGTCTATTTCCATGCTGTATGAGTCAATGACTCTATGATAGAGCACTGGTGAGCCCAGAGAAGAGACACTTGTCCGAGTTAACAAGATGGTTTATTGCATGGTACCAACTTACATTATCAAACGGACATATTTACAAAGGACCATTGGGAGCTTTTCTGAATAAATCTGTTCCTTATGAAGGCCAGAACTTCCTGTTTCTACTCAAAGACAGTGTGTGACACTGTCAAATTCGGTGGAGCTCTTACAGCATTAACATTAACTCTTTCAGGGCCATTATTTTACACAACGCCCCATGTTTTTCTGACAGCCCCAAACTAATGGTAATTGTCATAGATTCACTCGCTCTCGCTAACGCACTTTGTATAAACTCTCTCTGAAACAGAAGAAGAAAAGTTCTGAACTCATCATCGAAGCGCAGGAGAAGAAGAAGAAGGAAGAAGAGGAGAGAAAGGCACAGGAACGCTGGAGCTCATTGCAAGACTCAATTCAGAAGGAACTGAGCAATGATATCGACAAAGGGATCAAATCTCTGGAGAAGTTCCTGCAGAACTGTACCAGCGACAATGTGAAAGTAACTGCTGAGATGGAGGCGAGTAAATACTGCTATAAGGCTTGGGTCGAACACTGCAGATCTAAAGGTAAGAATGACCTGGTCACTTCAGTTTCAATTGCGTGTATTATTGAGTAAAATGGCTGCCAAGGTTCTGACAGCAATCAAGCTTCACAAGCATGTCATTGGCTGTAAAGGGTCTGTGGTGTTGTGAGGTTGTGAATGGTGACACAGCAATGCAAGCTCTTTGTGTTTTTGTTCAGGTTTAACCTTAACTTTCTCTTGTGGGTGTCAAGCTCAAGGTCATGTGATGGGGAAACTGACATTGGGATTGGCTGAGGAGGTGGCTCCTCCTCTCTGATGGAGTCAGAAGTCACATCTCCTGAAGCTTTTGTAACGGAGTTGAGACTCCGCCCCAAGCCATGATAAAACTTCAACTACAATCATTGAATTCTTACGGTGTGGACACAGGCTTTTGGCTCATCGGGTCCATGCCAAACCCCGAAGATCATTCCACCCAATCCCTGTGACCTTGCATTTGCCATGGCTAGCCCTGCACACTATGGGGCGATTTAGTACAGCCAATCCACTTAAACTACACATCCTTGGACAGGGGGAAGGAAACTGGAGCACCTGAAGGAAACCCACATAGACATGGGGAGAATGTGCAAACACCACACAGACAGTTGCCTGAGCATGGAATCGAACCCAGGTCCCTGGTGCTGTGAGATAGCAGTGCTAACCACTGAGCCACCATGCCATCCCCAAATAATGACCTTGCTCCTCCATCTACCCTACTCCTTGCCATCCCCAACTAATGACCTTGCTCCTCCATCTACCCTACTCCATGCCATCCCCAACTAATGACCTTGCTCCTCCATCTACCCTACTCCATGCCATCCCCAACTAATGACTTTGCTCCTCCATCTATCCTACTCCATGCCATCCCCAACTAATGACCTTGTTCCTCCATCTCTCCTCTTCCCAATCTTAATGCAAAATGGTTGCCAAAGTTGTCCATCCTCGTTCTTCACTTGAATAAAGGCAAAATAGTGTAGATGCTGGAAATCTGAAATAAAATCAGAGCGCGCTAGAGACACTCATCAGGTTTGGCAGCAAATGTGGGAAGAGAGAAACAGAGATTGTTCTGGTATGACGTTTCTTCAGAACTGTAGGAGGTTGGAACCTTTCCTCAAATATACATTTGACAGGGGTTGGGCGGGGGTGGGGGAGTGGTGGAGGGTAGGAGCAAGGAGAGGTGATGGCCTAGTGGTATTATTGCTGGATTGTTAATCCAAAGACCCAGGAAAATGTTCCTGGGACCTGGGTTCAAATCCTGCCATGGCAGATGGTGGAATTTGAATTCAATAAATATCTGGAGTTAAAATCTAATGATGACCATGAATCTGTTGCCGATTGTCGGAAAAACCCATCTGGTTCACTAATGTCTCTTAAGGAAGGGAACTTCCATCCTTACCTGGTCTGGCCTACATGTAACTCCAGACCCACAGCAATATGGTTGCCTTTTAACTGCCCTCTGGGCAATTAGGGATGGACAATAAATGCTGCCTGGCCAACAACGCCCTCATCCCCTGAATGAATAAAGGGGAACAGATAGGGGAGAGGATCAGTGTAAAAGACAAAGGGGATCGTTAATGTTGTGTTAAAATGGGTGTGAGTTAAGGTGTTAAGGGGAGGGAATGGGTTCTCTCTACTAAAAGCAAAGTAAAGAAGAGACAAACAAGACAAGGCAGTGGGGTAGAGGGGAGAATGGAAGAAAGTTGGGGAACAGACGTAAAGTAGTCAGCTACAGAAGTTACGAGATTCAATGTGGAGATGTTGAGGTGTTGTTCCTTGCATTTATATAGTGCTTTGTTGGATCATTGCAGTGAGTGGATCACCAAGAGTGATAGGTGGTTCATTGAAATGGCAAGTAACTGGGAGGTCAGGGCTCACCCCTACAGACAGCCCAGAGGTGTTCCACATAGCAATCACCCAGTCTGTGTTGGGTTTTGCTATTGTAAAGGACACTGTGTTGTGAGCAGCGAATGGAGTAGACTAGTTTGAAAAAAGTACAAATGAAACAATGCTTCACCTGGAAGGTGTGTTTCGGATCTTGGGCAATGATGTGGAGGTGAATGGGCAAGTGTTCTGTGGTTGTATGGGAACGTACTTCAGAGAAGTGAGTATGTGTTAAGAGTGATAGAGGAATGGACCAGGGTGTCATAGAGGGAACAGTCCCTGTAAAGGTGCTGCCAGGGGAGGGGAGGGGAAAATATGTTTGGATATGGCATCCTGCTGGAGGTGAGGGAAATGGCAGGGATGATCCCAAGAAAACAGAGATTATTGAGATGGAATGTAAGGACAAGGCAAACCCTATTGTTGTTGTGGAAAGGAGAGGCAAGGGTGAGGGCAGAGGGCATTAGATGGGTTGGATATGGCTAAAGACCCAGTCAATAACAATGGGTAGGGGAGAGACCTTAGTTGAGGAGAAAGAAGGCTGTGTTGAAGGCAGCCTGTTGGAAGGTAGCATCATTACAACAGAAGTGATGGAGAAGGAGAAACTGGGAGAATAGAATGGAATCCTTGCAGAAGGAAGGGTGTGAGGAAACGTAGTCAAGGCAACTGCAGGAGGCAGTGGGTTTGTAAAATTGTGCACTGCTACTCACTGCAGTTGGAGAGCAACTAGATCCATTAGCCCCAAATTGGATCATTCTTGATTCCCATGTCTGATATTTTTACATTCAATAAAGTGAGATGTCCAAAGAAATGTTTTTTCTTTACAAGAAAACAACGCTTTTTTAAAATGCACTCAAATTTTTCCTTTTGTAAAAGTAGAGTCGTCATAGAGACTGTAGGGTGTTCTCTCATCAGAGAGAGAGACAACTGGTTTAACCTGAGGGTTACCACACCTCAGGAGAGGGGAGAGGTTGAGAAGGAGAGTCCTTCAGCCTGTGATAGGGATCGAACTCATGCTGTCGCCATCACTCTACATTACAAACTAGCCAAATGAGCTAACTGAGCCTCTCAGAGTGGGGTTCCTGGTGATTATGTTGGAGACTCCAGGGTGATTCTGAAATGCCCACCAGACTCTGAGTCTTCAATCAGATTGACAATTACAATAACATCATCCATTGCATGGAAAATGAAGAAGGGAAATAAAAGCTGTGTGAATGACCATTGAATCAAATCTAGAGAGGGAGTGGTAACTTCACTGCACTGTAATCTGAAAGCTCTGGCTAATATTCTGTGCACGTAGGGTCAAATGCCACAACAGCAGCTGGCTGAAGTTAAATCCAATAATAAATCTTGACCAGGTATGGCCTCAGTGTCGTCTCCCGATCTCAACGCGATTCCGAGAGTGATCTCCAAGCCTCATGAACCTCAAGGTGAAGCCTGGTGTTATCTGGAGCTAAGGCCTGGTGCCAGTGTGGTCTGGGTTGGAAGCCTGTCGTTCTGAAATGTAATTTTTGCAATTCTGGACTTCTTGTTTTTCTTGTTATAAGATCTTGTAACTGAAGCATCTGTACCTGGGTACCTTGGTACCTAAGATGGCACTCTAAGTGGTGATTTGTAAACTTTTCACTGTATCCATGTGAGCACATGTGACAGTAAAGCTAATTCTAATTCTAATTCTAAATTCTAAAGTCTGGAATTGAAATTTAGTCTCAGTGATGATGACCATAACACTTCTCATTAATTGCTGTAAAAGCCCATATCCTTTAGGGAGGGAAATCTGTTGCCTTTACCTGGTCTGGCCTACACGTGACTCCAGACCCACAGCAATGTGGCTGACTCTTGGCTGAAATGGCCCAGCAAACCACTCAGTTCAAGGTCAACAAGGGATGGACAACAAATGTTGATCTTGTTAGCGATGCACAAATCCCACAGAACTTTGAAGAAGATCACAATTAATGCTATTTGTTTCTTCCTCCTGGGTTGCAGGTACTTCAAGAGATGTGAAAATCGCAGTGCTTTTGATGCGAAGAATTCACAGTATTCTGAACAGGCATGAGGTTCAGCTGAGCCCTACAGTACTCAATGAATTGGCACGTTATCTCAAAAATCTGGGATTCCTGAACCTAAGAGAAACAGTTCTGGAAATGATAGACACAGAACAGGTAAAACTCAGTATCTCAGAGGGGTGGTGCAGTTGAGTGGCAGGATCACTGACCTATTAATCCAGAACACCACAGTAATGTTCTGGAGATGTGGATTCGAATCCCGACATGGCTAATAGAGAAATTTGAATTTAACAAAAAGAAAAATCTGGACTACAAAGCCAGTCTAATGCAAACTATTGCCAATTGTCATTTAAAACCTATCTAGTTCACTAATGTCCTCCAGGGAAGGAAGCTTCCTGTCCTTATCTGGTCTGGCCTATATGTGACTCCTGACCCATAGCAATGTGATAGAATGTTAACTGCCCTCTGAAATGAACTTGGTTCTAAAAGATGACATTCTGTTACCTCCTCAAGAGGAATTAAGGACGGACAATAAATGCTGGTCTACCCAGCGACGCCCACATCCCATAAATGAATTTAAGAAACAAGACTCTCTCTGGTCTCTTGGGTTGACATTGCATCACTTTGATGTTCTGGCTAATACTTATGACTCTATCAACATCAGTTACCTCAATGCCAGATTATCCAGCCCATTCTTTACAATTCATTCACCAGCAAGAGCTGCATTCATAAAATCCCTACAATTCAGATGGAGGCTATTTGGCCCATCAACGCGGCACCTACTCTCTAAAAAGCATCCCTACCCAATCCCTGTAACCCTGTATTTCCCGTGGCTTATCCACCTAACTTGCACATCCCTGGACACCCTAGGGCAATTTGGCATGGCCAATCCACCTAAACTGCACATCTTTAGACTATGGGAGGAAACTGGAGTACCTGGAGAAACTCCATACAGACAGTTGTCCGAGGGTAGAATCAAATCCGGATCCTTGGTGCTGTGAGGCAGCAGTGCTAACCACTGAGCCACCGTGCCACCCCTAACCACTGAGCCACCATGCCACCCCTAACCACTGAGCCACCATACCACCCCTAACCACTGAGCCACCA